ATCACCTTGCCGTAGCCCCCTTCGAGATTCAAAGGGACTCGAGAGTGTCCCCGATACTCGAACAACGCACATCACTCGATCCATCGTCGCCTTGACCAATCGCGTCAGTTTATCCGGAAATCTGGACTCGTGCATAATCTGCCATAGCTGATCTCGATCGATTGTGTCATATACGGATTTAAAATCGATGAACAAATGGTGTGTGGGCTCGTTGTATTCGCGGCATTTCTGCAGAACCTGCCGAACCGCGAAAATTTGGTCCGTGGTAGCGCGGGCTCCCATGAATACCGCCTGGTATTGCTTCACGAACTCTCTTGCATATGGTGACAGGCGGCGGCATAGAATTTGGGAGAGTACCTTGTAGGTGGCGCTCAGCAGTTTGATCGCGCGGTAGTTGCAGCAATCCAACTTGTCGCCTTTTTTGTAGATTGGGCATACGACACCTTCCATCCACTCCTCCGGGTATATCTCCTCCTCCCAAATCTTGGCAATTACCCAGTGCAGCGCTCTAGCCAGTGCTTCACCACCGTATTTTAATAGCTCACTTGGTAGTTGATCTACACCAGTTGCTTTGTTGTTCTTCAGTCGACCGATCTCCTTCTCAACTTCTTTAAGATCAGGGGCCGGTAGCCTGTCGTCTTCTGCGCGTGCTCCAAGGTCTATTGCCATGCCACCTTCGTTTTGCTGCTTCACCGTTGAGGTGCTCGTCATAGTACTGCTTCCACCTCTCAATCACCTCACACTCGTTCGTGAGAAGGTTACCGACTAAGTCCTTGCACATATCGGCTTGTGGCACGTAGCCTTTGCGCGAACTATTTAGCTTCTCGTAGAACTTCCGTGTGTCGTTTAAACGCGGTACAGATTTTTCATCGTCTCGCGATCTCGGTCTTCCTGCTGACGCTTCTTCCTTCGGAATACCGAGCTTTGTCTGTTCCGCGCTTGTCTGTATCGCTCCACATTCAATCTCCTGCGGTGTTGCAGCATTCTCGCCCGTGCTGCATTCTTCTCCTCTACTAACAGTTTGCATTCGCCGTCAAACCAGTCACTACTTCGGTCCGGGATTGCAGTACCTAGTGCCACTGCAGCAGTACTACCTATGGCGGAACGGGTGTCCCTCCAGCCATCTTCAAGAGAAGCTGCGCCAAGCTGCTTTTCTGTGGGAAGTGCAACTTCCAGCTGCTGCGCGTACTTCTGGACAACTCCGTCGTCCCGTAGTTGCTCAATGTTGGGTCTCGGCGTTTGACTTCGACGGGTTTTATGCACCGTCGAGAGTTTTGAGCGCATGCATACTGCAACTAGGTAGTGGTCCGAATTTATGTTCGCACTGCGGTACGTGCGGACGTTGATAATGTCGGAGAAGAATTTCCCGTCGATTAGAACGTGATCGATTTGGTTTTCTGTGTGTTGGTCAGGTGATCTCCAGGTGGCTTTGTGGATATCCTTGCGGGGGAAAAAGGTACTTCGAACTACCATACCCCGAGAGGCTGCAAAGTTCACGCATCGTTGGCCGTTGTCGTTCGATACGGCATGTAGGCTGTTTGACCCGATTGCCGGTCTATACATTGTCTCCCGTCCTACCTGAGCGTTCATGTCGCCGATGACGATTTTGGACGATTTGGTAATAGTGTGGTATTTAGTTTTATTCGCTCCACGGTTTGGAACAAATTCGTACTGGTACGACGCGAGTGCATGGACGGTCAGTGCTTGGCACAGTAAAGCGCCATGGGGCATGAAGTAGTTCGCCTCCTCGTGGTGTGCCCTGGAAACGCTAATTATCGAACCCAAGGGAGAGATATTGCGGCTAAACGAACTACCGCAGAGAAGCCCTGCACAAACCCTCGTTGTGCAAAGGCAGGAGTGACGCCGGGTTCTTAGAGTGCTTAGCACACGCAGCTGGTAAGCGGTCATATCTGTTCTAAGCTGCCCTGATGGACAGTTGGCTGGCTATCACGTCTGCTCTAGAACCCAGGCGAACAACGAACAGCGAACAACAAGAGGAGGTTGAGAAGCCCTGCACAAACCCTCGTTGTGCAAAGGCAGGAGTGACGCCGGGCGAGCGAACAACAAGAGGAAGGCCCTGCACAGCTGTTCACTGTGCAGTAGCGAGTGTCACGTCAGACACAACACCTAGTGATGCGCCATAGCGCAACCGGCCCCCTCCCATGACGTAATGCTTTCGGGCGGTTCCGGGGAGGGCAAGGGCCTAGAGCACAGGGTAAGGTTTAATGGGTCGGGAGAGCTATTTTTCCCATCCCCACACCCTGAGTTATCTTCTCAGGAGTCTGGGAGCAGATTCCCCCCTGTGAAAAAAAAAAACAGTAAAGCGCCATTGTGACTTTAGCGAACCTTTGGAAATTAGTGAAGACCGTCCCAAATACGTACTAAACCTCACTCGACTTACCGTTAGGCACTCGCGGTAGTTTGTATGCGCACCTGGTACCACTCCCCGGGCCAAAGTGAACTGAAACGCTGCTGGCCTCCGTTACAAATAGGCCAAGTTGCCGCCGCATCTGGAATCCCCCCGTCGTGAAGAAGCCCTTCACATCTGCCTTCGTCGATGGACACCCTACCGATGCACAGTGTTGCTTTTTGCCGTTTTCGTGCGCTTTTTTAATAGCTTCTCAAATATTGATATTTGGGGTATAGTTTGTTTGAAGATGTTTTTGCATTTGTTAATCCGCTTTTTTTGATGTAGACGGTTTGGTGATTAATCTACCTAAAAGTGAGATAATTTTTTTTATTATCTGATTCAGATAGAGATTAAACGTCTTGAATAAAGTTGTAAAAAATGTTATTTAAAGCAACTTTGCTGAACACCTAAAATTTCTAGCTCTTATAAATTGCGAGATATGTATCATTGTTCGTGAAAGGCCCCTTTAAATCATGTTTTTTAGTATAACTGATTTTCTAGGCATACCACAATTTTGATTTCTTCTACAACTATATTTTGCATGTTTAAACACATGCTTTTGCTGAACATTGTAGGAAGGATTCTGAATCTATACTTATTTTACTGTCGAAAAATTATAAAAAAAACATGTGGCAGCACGCGATCTTTTAGGTGTTTTTTAATAACTAAAAAACTCCTGCAAATGTCTAATTTTTGAAAACATATTTCAATTTTAAGAGAAAGCATGTGACAATGTTCAGCAAAAATATGTATTTTTGTACGTCAAACAACTTGTAGAATATGTTTAATATATTGAAAATTTAAGAAAAAAGTTACACTTAAAACAATTATTTTAATGAGTTTTAAATTTAACTTTATCTTGAGTAAACAAATGTATGCGTTTTATTGATAGTAAGCTGTCAAATTCTATAAGAGTAGAAACGCAAGAGGTGAACTGCTGCAAACCGTTAAAAAATGGCGGAATCATTAACTTCAGGTATGCGTATGTGATTATTTCAAAAACAGGAATGCAAAGAAGTGATTTCCTTTGTAAAATTTATTTGCTAATAATAATGTTTTGGTTGCCTCTTGTTCTTTACCTTAGAATTTCATAAACTTGGTCTCTTCTCGCTTTGAATTGAAGGACATGCCAACGGTGAGATTTCAAAATGTTCACAAGCACGTTCCGTTGTCTCTGGTTGTTCCTTCTAAAATAACTAAAAAACATGCTGGAAATCTTTGTATCTACTTAAAAAATAAAAATGGAATACACATGGCCGCTCAAAGCAGAGGGTTTAAGGAAATTGCTCCGAATACTTCAAAAAACCTTTTAAAATGTTTTATCAGCTCCGAAAGATGTAAGTATCGGTCGAAGAACAGTTCCTTTCGAGGATTGCAATGCAACGAAAAAGAAATAATCAGCTTGTATTAGAAATCGCTACCAACCGAATCAGCTGGCATTTGCAACGCAAATGAAGCTTCGAGAGGCAAAGCAAAAGGATGCGACAAAAATTAATAAAGAAGCTACTCAAACAACACCTTCGCAAGCAACCAGAATCAGCGATTCTCGGAAAAAAAAACCAGAGAGTATACTCCTTCAAATCAATTGTTTTAAGTATAACTTTTTCCTGGATTTTCGATATTTTTAACATATTCTACAAAGTTGTTTGCCGTACAAAAATACATATTTTTGTTGAACATTGTAATCATGCTATCTCTTAAAATTAAAATATGTGTACAAAAATTAGACATTTGCAGGAGTTTTTTAGTTATTAAAACACATTAAGGATCGCATGGTGCCACATGTTTTTATAACTTTTCGGCAGTAAAATAAGTATAGATTCAGAATCCTTCCTAGAATTTTGCACCAATTTGCGCCGGAAATAGTTATTTGAGGAGCAAATACCCCTAAAACTATCGATTATTTAAAAATAACTTTTTTGTTTCAAGAGATAATTAGTTACAAAGCATGTGCTTAAACATGCAAAATATAGTTGTAGAAGAAACCAAAGTTGTAGGATGCCTAGAAAATCAGTTATACTAAAAACATGATTTAAAGGGGCCTTTCACGAAAAATGATTCATATCTCGCAATTTATAAGAGCTAGTAATTTTGAGTGTTGAGCAAAGTTGCTTAACATAATATTTGCTACAACTTTATTGAAGACGTTAAGCCTCTATCTGAATTAGATAAAAAAATATTTTTTTTGATCAAACTTTTAGGTAGATTAATAACTAAACCGTCTACATCAAAAGAAGCGGATTAACATATGCAAAAACATCTTTAAACAAACTGTACCCCAAAAATCAATATTTGAGAAGCTATTAAAAAAGCGCACGAAAACGCCAAAAAGCAATACTGTGCGATGGCTGCCACGTGAGCCCATTCATCAATGTCGACCAACGAGTGCATCACGGCCGCAACGTTAGCTCACCGGTGAAGTACAGTGAACTAAATTGCCCGACGGACGGTTTCAAAAGCTAAACAATATAATAAAGTAAAATCATGATTTCGTGATACCATGAACGCATAATTGTGATTTTAGTTTCTGCAGCTGTCATTTTCAGGATGTGTTGCTTATTAGTGCATTCAGCTGAGCCATATCGTCAGAATGGTGGTGGAGTTCATCAAACTGACCGAACTCCTCGAAGGACATGGTGAACCAGTGAACGTCCTCTTCCAAAGCAACAAAGCGGCACCAGTTGTGGAGAAAACATTGAAAATAGCCCAAGAGTCGGTGGGATGTCTGCTAGTTCGGACCCTAGAAATAACATAGGAGAAATAACATAGGAGGGAATGTGAGCAAGCATCGTTTGGGATGTGATCAGTGCTTATTGCTTGTTATGATGCTGATGAAGGTGGTGGTAGATGCCTTCATGGTGACCGAAGATCCGTTGAATTGATGAGCTGAAAGTCGACACAACTTCATCTTCTGGTCAGATGCCTGCTGCCAATTTTGGGTATGGGTGAAACCTGAATTGTTCGGTTGTTCCAGCCAAGGATACCGTCCCTTTCGGTTTCCTTCCATTTCCATACTGTACAATCCAATCAAATCATTGACAATTAATAATGTTGACGTTTTATATTCCATGAATAGGGTGACCATATCGAAAACATGAAAAGAAAGACATTTCATTTGAGGTTTGAAGATTAAGGAGGACAATTATTCCTTTTCTTAACATTAAAGGAGGACAATGAGTTTTTATCAAACGTTTTAATAATATGTGCGCTATCGCAAAATTCATGATTTGCAAAGGTTCAATTGAGATTGTTCATAACTTGCAGTCGTTATCAATTCAATTCATCTTCTCGTTATACTTCTGAAAAATGTATCAAACTAGACTTCATAATTCATTTTTGATATTTGGAAATGATCTAGTCTAGCTGATTTGCATGAAAACTACAGCTTTACAGCCTTAAAACCATCCCAACTTTTATCATGTACCAACATGGAACATCTAAGCAACCTGCTAATTTTACCACTTCAACATAGGACTCTAAGGCCGCTGCCATAGTTAGTAGGAGTGAAGAGGCGTGCTTAGCGTTCGATACAAAAGAATTCATATTATTGTTATTATTCCTTACATTCGATTTCACGCTTCGCGTGCTTCTTCGCTCTCAGTATGGCAGCGGCCTAAACAAATCAAGCGACATATTTGCTTCCTTACCCACGCAAACAAACGCCATCATCAGGTAGGGGAATCTTTCCCCTCCTTGCTGGTGTTGATAGTTTCTGTGATTGAGCGTGCAGTTGACACAAATCATCGATTGAAGTGATTGTTTGCAAAATCAGATACGTCGATTTGAATAGTTATGCTTGGAATACCTAAAATCCCATAGAACCAGAACGTCAAAATCGAACACATGTTGGATTAAATCTGTGTAGTTGTGTTTCATTTGGTGAACTTTAACTTTAATTTGACAGATATTTTTTTTTTCAAATAAACCTGCTATTGCACCAGACTTATTTCTAACAGACCAGGAATCAATTTTTTGACAAATAATTTCTCGAAAGTCGGAAGATAAGCAACAGAGAGATTTCCAAACATTGTAATTTATTTTCAAAATGTCAAATTTAAGTAAAAAATCAGAAAAATGGAACGCAGCCTGATTATGTGTTACATGCAGTCTTGTAAGCGGTCACGGTTGTCGACACATTTTCTGTGATAATTGACTGCCTTTGCCACCGACACTTGCAAAGCAAGCTATCATAGTACAGTACCAAACTAAAATGTCGTATGACAGGCTCTGTCATACGACATTGTCGCCGAAGACCGTCACGAATGTATGTATTTTAGTTTTTCTCATAATAAGAGCTGCTGATGGTGTGCTTGTGTGAATTCTGAAAATAGCAAGCAATGATGTCATAGTAATAATATTTCTGATCAGAAATGGTTTGATTTACACCAAATTGAGGAATTACAACGAAATCACACATGTCATATGATAGCTATTTTGATAATTTTCTTTTAACTCGAATGTTATTCTACCGCTCGTGTTGTGTGAGAGAGACGACGGTAGAGCATGAGTGTTCGAATACAAACAGACTGTCGCGCACGACAACGAAGCGAGTGTAGTAAAAAACGTTAACTGTTTCAACCCCTGGTTACATGTGATGTATTTTCACTGATACTTCGAAACTAAATTATAATGTTTGAAGATCCCTCTGTTGTTGATCGTCCGACTTTCAAGAAATTATTTGTCGAAATTGATTCCTGGTATGTCTAAAATAAGCAAGTTTATTTGAAATTTTTCCATCGGTCAAATTTACACTGATAGGCAAAATAAAGTGCCCACCCCATCATTTTTTGAATTTCTCTCATTTATTTGGTTCAAATTAAAGTAAATACACTGTAGTATTTTTTATATCTTATTCTTTATATTCTTTTTAAGTTTCACTTATAGAATACCAGATAAAAAGAAGAGACTGACTCGAAGAAAAAAAAATCAAAATGGGTGTAAAAAAGAACAGTGACAAAAAAAAGTGCCCACTGCATTTTAACTCCAGAAAACATAAAATAAAGTAAAAGAATACCAGCCTAATAGTTAATGTGTCCTCCTTTGGCCTTCAGGACCAGCTGCAGGCGCTTCGGCATGCTCTCCACTAGATTCTTCAGGTGCTGTGGATCTAGTTCTTCCCAGGCGCGCTCCAGGGCTTCAAAATAGTTATTTTTATTGGTAACACCAGTTTTGTCAACCCTGGCATCGAGAATCGCCCACAAATTCTCGATGGGGTTGAGGTCCGGGCTTTGTGGAGGCCATTCCAGTGGTTTAATTCGACATGACCGGAAGAAAGACTTAGTCTTCTTGGCAGTATGCTTCGGATCGTTGTCCTGCTGGAATACGAATTTCTCCTCAAGGCCCGTCTGGATCAGCGAAACTTCCAGATTTTCCCGCAGGATGTCGATGTAGGAATCTGCCGTCATTATCCCGTCGATTTTCACCAGGCTTCCCACTCCACCCCACGAAAAGCACCCCCAGACCATCACATTTCCTCCTCCATGCTTCACCGTGCCTTGTATGTGGCGCTCCTGAAGCTCCTCACCCGATCTACACCACACACGAACCCGTCGCTTCCGGTTGAACAGTTCGAATTTTGATTCGTCCGTCCAGAGAACCGTTTTCCAGAACTCTAGGGGCTTATCAGCATGCTCCTTAGCAAACTTAAGCCGTTTGACTTTGTTTGCCTTGCTGATAAATGGGCGCTTCCGAGCAACTTTGCTGTTCAACCCCTGTGCTACGAGACGGCGACGAACAGTTCGACTGGAAACTGTTAGCTGAAGAGCCTCCTGGATCTCGCGGACAGTTACCTTCGGGTTCTTCTTCACTTCACGCATGATCTTGGTGTCCGTTCTCGCATCCGTTTTGCGCATCCTGCCTCTGCCAGGGCGATCCACCACTGATCCGAACGATTTCATTTTCTGCAGAATTTTCCCGACCGCTGTTTTGCTGATATTGTACTTCCTAGCGACAGACCGGTGCGATTCACCGTTTTGCACATCACGAACAACCAATTTTCGGATACACACGGGAATTGCTTTCGAAATCACTACGTCCTCCATTTTTTTCAACTGATTCAAATGCGATCACGTGTACAAATGCACCAGTTCCACCCGTTTGCTTCAATACATGTCAAACTTTCAAAACAAAAACAATCGAGGGGTTTTCCGATGGAAACTTATCGAAAACATACCGATTTTTGAAGTGGGCACTTTTTTTTGTCACTGTTTTCTTTTTCAATCCAAATTGATTTTCTTTTACTTCAAGTAAAACTTTATATTTTCAGTATTCCATAGGTGTAACTTTAAAAGAATAATAAAGGTAAGACATCGAAACAGACTACGGTGTGTTTATTTGAATTTGAACCAAATAAATGAGAGAAATTTCAAAAATGATGGGGTGGGCACTTTATTTTGCCTATCAGTGTAAGTGAAATTTCACCAAATGGATCGCAGCCTAAATGTAGGGGGGTTGACAGCTGTAGTATACTCCTAGTATTACCATCGAATGGCATTTTCTAGATAAGATGAGGTTAAACAAATAAGCTCTGTTAACAATGTTCTTTGAAAACAATTTTATGAATATGTTACTGGAAAAAATACAAGGATTAAAAAGGAGGGCATTTGCTGGCAAAAGGAGGATGTAGAAAAATTATTGAAAAAGGAGGACATGTCCTCCTTTAGGATACCATATGGTAGCCCTATCCATGAACCATGTTCCCGTTTTTGAGAACAGGTTCACGATATTACTAAACAACTCATGAACTTTAACCACGTTTACCAGAACAAGATCATGATTTTCAAGACAGAGCTCACATTTCTATAACTTTTGTTGCTTTTGCTGGTGCCCGGTGCAACATAGCGCAGGCGTTACGTTTGTTTTGCGGAACAATGTTCACGATTTCATGATTAAACATTAACGAAAAATTAACCAGTTCAGTAAATCGTGACTTGAGGTGGATGAATTTGCAATCTACTACAGTGGTCTACTTTACAAAGGCAACGCAATGCAACAACATAAAACGCTGTAACTTATTTGTACTAGCGAAATTTGTTGCGAGAATCAACCATGCTGTTAATTTCTTGTTGACTTTTAGTTCGTAGCTGTAAGTTTTAGTTTAAGATTAAAGACTATTAAACTTTTTAGACTAACTGTCTGTTGATTGTTGATAATGGAGTGTCAATTGTGAAACAGTATGCATATACCAGAGATTTTATGCTATTTTCCAGGCTTATTTGTGCGAGGTGGTGATTTTGCACCTCACGTTGTCTTCTTTCCTAATGGTTCCACTGGTGGTCATAAATCTAACCGCTGACAAATTAATGCTTCTATAGCTACTGATTTGTTCGGTTAGAGCGCAACCATACTGGGGGCAATAATAAGCCTGTTAAACTTAATTAGCCACTTATTTTGTCGTTAGTGGTTTGAAATCAAATGACTGTTTGATTTATATTTTCATTTTTGTTTTGTTTTTTTCTTTCTTCGGCACATTTAAATTCTATAAAGCATATTTGCGATGCATAATCCGACAGAGAGTTTTGAATTTAATCATTTGAGGACTAACGCCACTCCCTACAACGTGAAACGGGTGACAAAAAACACATCTTACCCACAATGAGTGTTTTGTTTTAGTTGCCTTGCAATCCGCTGATGTATGTATAGTGATTGCCAAGGAGACTCGTTTTAGGATCCGTTGCTGGCATTTCGCAAATTGTTTCTACGGTTTTTATGGC